GATGCACTCTTCCACTTGTACTAAGCCCTTCATATCCTGGTCACTCTTTTTGAGTTCCCCTCCAACCTTCCTCATTCTGATTATCTGGTCCTTAACTGTTGTTTTCCTCCTGATGTGACTATAACAAATTTGGGTCAGATTTGGCTTTTGATGCTATATGATTCTATTATTGCTTCTAGGCAACTCTTCTTATCCATGCATATTCATTTCTGGTTCTTCTACTCAGCTCCTTGTTTTCTTGAGTCCTTTGCCTTTTATACTTTTTCCTTGCTCTAGCACACTTGGCTCTGGCCTCTTTACACCTCAGGGTAACCCATGGGATCACTCTGGTCTTTTAATATTTTCTGTTACCCCTTGGTATCAATTTCTCTGCTTCCCTGTGGTTTGTTATTTGAAACTCAGGATGTGATCACTAGCGCCAATGGGCTTTTCGTGTGTAATATTGAACTGTTCAAGGTGAACACGAAGTCCAGCCTTGCTGGTACATCCTCTCCTCTCCTCACTCTTTGGTTGTATTCCTAACATGTTGGTGCATGAAGTTTTCCAGTACAGACTCCAGCATATTAGCCCGCCATGTTTCTGGTCCCCCATATGACTCCTTGTGGTTGAAATCCCCAATGATAATTAACTTTGCTCTACCCATGTGGGACATTTTGGCCACCTAAGCTAGAGTATAGATTGCTGTTATCGTATTCTTGTCTTGGTCTCTTGTTGTTCAGTGACGGGTTATACATCACTGCTACCATCACCTTTGGACTCACAGTCTGAAGTATTCCTACTATAAAGTCATCTGCTTCTCCCCCTGTCCATTCCTCCCATGTCTTCAAAACTCCACTGTTTTTTGATGAGCAGTGGAATTGCTCCTCTACCCAATGCTCCTTCTGTCTTTCCTCAGGATGTGATATTCAGTTGCAAAAATTGCAAATGTTATTATCCCCATGAGTTTTGTCTCTGTGAGTGATATGATGTCCAGGGGTGCCCCAATAATCATTTTTGCCTCTCTTCACTCTTAATTGTTATTCCAGCTTTCTTTCTAGTACTGAATTCCTGGAGGTGGGAGGGGTTGGTACGGCCTTGGGGTGTGGAAGGCAGGGCAGGATATTACGGAAGGTTGCTGTAATGGTTTTATTAATGCTGGGAGGGAGGGGGAGGGGCTGGGGTTGTGGAGTGTGGCTTGTTTCTGGTTATGTTTGGTTTGTATGGGGCAGTAGGGGAGCCTAAAATCTTTTGTGTCTGGTGTTGCTGTCTGTTGATGCCTGCCCTGTCTCTCTTTCCTTTCACTGATGTCTTTACCTTTACTCTCAGTTGTTCCCATCCTTTTCGTGTTCTGTTGCGGTTAGGGTACACTCGCTGATATTCTCAGAAGTCCTTTTTCATTGGTTTCTGTTGAAAGATGCTATTCCATACCATTTCTGACTTGAATGTCAATTTAATGAAGCAATTTTTTTCCCTCGAATCCCCCCCCCAGTCTGAAAATCTGTTAGCTCAGACATGTCCTTCCTTCCTGTTATTGCGATGATGCTCTCAGTTCTTCTTTCATCATAGGTTGTTCTTTCAGCCTCCTGAAATCAATCCATAAATATTGACCTCTCCCTCTCTTCCCATTTCTTTCCCTCCATATCTCTGGATCCGATTTAAGCATCAGCTTTGTTGCTTCCTTTATCATCTGCTGGACACCCCGGAGGCCTGATATCACTTCTGCAAGAGACTTTTAAGCACTTTCCCCTCCTTCAATCCTCTTGCTGTCATTTGATAGTCCTGCATCCATCGCCTTACTCCTTTCGGTCCTCAATATTATATCCTGCTTCAGCACACTACTCTGTTTGCTGGAGTACGACACGAAGTCGGTATCCTCCTACTTGCAGGGAAAACGTCAAACAGATTACACTACAATACTTGCAGAAGTTCAACATAATGCAGCCTCCACTACTTGAAGGCCTTTAATAAAAATTAGCCACTGCTCTATTTGCAGAGGATATACCATAATGAAGCCATCCATCATCCAGCAGGACGAGAAATGTAAGGAAACTATTACGCTTCTTGCAGATACTTCTGTATCGCAGATTAGCAATATAAAACATGCCACCTTTCTGCTTCCAAAGGAACAGTAAAAGGAAGCCACCACGCTACTTGCAGAATTAGAACATTGTGATACCACCACTTTTCTTGCAGGGGGTGAAGCATAAGGCCACCAGCACTACTTGCAGGGTCTCAGTAAGAAAAAGCCACAACTGTACTTGCATGAAGTACAAAATAAGCCACCACTCTGCTTGAAGGATACATATATCCCAGACACCAGAATATTTGTTGGGTGTATGACATAAGGCAGTCACCATTCTTCTTGCAGAGGTATAACAACGATGCCATCATTAAACTTTCATGCGGGGCAACATTAAAATCCAGCACTCTACATGCATGAAGGTAATACCAGAAGATACAGAATTAAACAGCTATCAGTTTAATTGCAGGATGGGGGTGCAACATGAAGCTGTCTCCACTCTTCTAGCCAGACAACAATGTTTCAGCTATGGAGTAAAACGTAAAGCAGCCACAAATCTACATACAAGAGGCAAAACAATTGGCAGTCTTCACCCCTTGCAAGGGGTTAGAGCAGATTAACACTTAACACTTAGTGGAAGCACAGATTAAGGCAGTCGGTGCCCTATTTCCAGAAGGAACAACATAAACCAGTCTGTAATCAGCTTGAAGATGGTACAGCATAAGCAACCACCACTCTGCTTGCAGAGGGTACAACATCAGACAGCCACCATTCTGCTTGCAGTTGGTACAACATAAGACAGCCACCACTCTGCTTGAAGATGGTACAACATAAGACAACCACCACTCTGCTTGCAGAGAGTACAACATAAGACACTTAAATCACTTATTCTCTCTAGGCTGGAATACTGCTGCACATTAACATCCCCATTCAAGGCAGGTGAAATTGCAGAACTAGGGAATGTACAGAGAACCTTTTCTGCACGTATAAGTTCCATCAAACACCTTAACTACTGGGAGCGCCTGGAAGCACTTGACTTGTACTCACTAGACCGCAGGAGAGAGAGATATATCATAATCTACATCTGGAAAATTCTGGACGGACTGGTCCCTAATTGCACACAGCAATCCCTCCATACGAAAGCAAAAGACTAGGCAGGCGATGCAACATAACCCCAGTGAAAATGAGGGGCGTCATTGGTACACTAAGAGAAAACGCAATAAGTGTCCGGGGCCCAAGACTGTTCAACAGCCTCCCACCAGCAATAAGGGGCATTACAGGAAGACCCCTGGTTGTCTTCAAGAGGAAGCTAGACAGATACCTAAAGACGGTGCCGGATCAGCCGGGTTATGGTTCGTACGTTGGATTGCGTGCTGCCAGCAGTAACAGTCTCGTTGATCAGGCCCTGATCCACCGTGAGGAATGGTCGTGGACCGGGCTGCGGGAGCGTTGATCCCCGGAATGCGCTCCAGGTAGCCTCCAGGTAGCCACCACTCTGCTTGCAGAGGGTACAACATGAGACAGCCAGAACTCTGCTTGCTGAGGGTACAACATAAGACAGCCACCACTCTACTGGCAGAGGATACAACATAAGACAGCCACCACTCTACTTGCAGAGGGTACAACATAAGACAGCCACCACTCTACCTGCAGAGGGTGCAACATAAGACAACCACCACTCTACTTGCAAAGGGTACAACATGAAACAGCCACCCCTCTACTTGCAGAGGGTGCAACATAAGACTGCCACCACTCTGCTTACAGAGGGTACAACATAAGACAGCCACCACTCTGCTTGCAGAGGGGGCACAACATAAGACAGCCACCACTCTGCTTGCAGAGAGTACAGCATAAGACAGCCACCACTCTGCTTGCAGAGGGTACAACATAAGACAGCCACCACTCTGCTTGCAGAGGGGGCACAACATAAGACAGCCACCACTCTACTTGCAGAGGGTACAACATAAAACAGCCACCACTCTGCTTGCAGAGGGTACAACATAAGACAGCCACCACTCTGCTTGCAGAGGGGGCACAACAGAAAGCATTCATTATTCTACTTGCATATATCATCCATCACTATTTCCAGGAGAAGCAACATACGACAGCCATTACTCTACTGGCAGAGATACAAAATGAATCAGTTACCAATATACATGTGGAGGTACAACATAATGTAGAACTTCTCTACTTACAAGGGAAAGGGGGAGGTACAACATATTACTGCCAGCTCTCAATCTAGAGTGGAATAATATAATTTATCCACCATTCTTCCTGCAATGGTACAACTTATGGCGCTCACAACACTTACTGTGGGAGGGTAGGTAGCCACTACTCTACTTGTAGGGTTACATTAGGATGTCACCACTGAATTTTAAGAGATGGAAAAAAAAGGCAGCACTGTCTCTTCATGCATGGAATACAGTACAATACAGCCTTTACTTTTAATGTTCTGCCATGCTGGCGGTCACTTCTGTCAGCAGTCACTATTCTAACTGTGAGCTACAATGTTAGGTTGCCACCAATGTTCTTACAGAGTGTTACCTAAAAGTACACAGGTGAAACTAGTGTAACATTTCATTGTTTCGACGTTTCGCTCTCAAGGAGCTTTGTAACGGGTAACGGCTTGACAAATCTCCTGGACAGTGAAATGTTGCCACAATAAAATGTCACATTAATTGCACATGTGTTCTTTTACCTAACATACTGTCGGTAATCCTGCATTTATTACTTCTTACAGGATGTTCTTCATTAAGTAACCGCCGTTGTTCTAGCAGGATGTACAACTTAAGGCAGCCACCACTGGGAACTACAATATGAGGTTGATACCAATGTTCTGGAAGACAAAACAACACTCCCCATTGTTCTTGCTTGGAATGTAGTAAATAGGCATTACCAACATAAAATACCCATGTTGGTAAAAGTGACTGAACATAACATCAGGTAATATAAGTATAAGCGAGTGAGTAATATCAGTTCTAACAGGTAAATAATACACAGGTTAAAGAATATCAGTATAATAGGAAACCGTAGTAATAAAACAACAGAGATAATAAATGTCATTCCTCAATACGATGTTATTGATCATAAAGTCATCCATGACTTTGATACATTAGCATCGTTTATTAAGCTTAGTGCGATGATGATTCTAGCATCAGCTGTTAATAAAGAGCTGATAAAATTGTTGAAAGCAGTGAATGTTACTTTGAGCACTAACATGAAGACTGGACCTCCTAGCGGCACTCAGTGGTAGGTGGCAGCGTGTAGCTCTGTAAAGAGAAGAAAATACAATGTTTAGCATTGTATGTGGTAGAGTTAACATGAACAGACAAATTACACTTTATGCACCTGCGCAGGTGTACAAAACACGTGCATCTTTATTTTCGAAAAATGTGTTTGTGCTGGAAACGTTATCTTACACACAGAGATGAATTAGAGTCCATCAACTTTGCTGGAAGAGACTGGTTGTCACTTAATAAGATATATATCATTGTCCTCATCGTTCTCGGGCCGTGTGGACGTGCTGCACAAAAACTCCTGCTTTCTCTGTTTGTGCAACTTCCTGTTTTCACCAAGGTGGCGACCAGTTACAGCAGGAGGAGCAACACTGTGTGTGTTGACCTAGTTAAAGGAACAATTTATCCGACGAACGCCTCTGTCTTATTGCCAACGACCATACTGGACACCTTTAACATTGAGAACGATGAACTACATGGAATAGCGCTTAATGGCTCTTCACGAATCTTCATAAAGTTCTGCAATGTAGAGGCTTATGAAAGGACGGTGACAAGATACCACGAGAAGTCCATCTTCGTTTCATCTGGACTGGAGGTACGCCTGAGGGATGCTTCAAAATATTCCACCTGGGTGAGGATACGAAATGTCCCTTTTGAAGTGGATGAAGTGGATATTAGAGAGGCTTTTCAACGATGTGGTGAAGTGCATGCTACGATTTTGGGTCGATGGACGGATGGAATCTATGCAGGGCTGCCTGCAGGATCCTACGCAATTAAGATGTGTTTGAGACGACCTATTCCATCGTATGTTGTCCTGGAGGATTTCAGGACACAGGTGTTTGTGACCTACGCGGGACAACGCAAGACGTGTCGCCTGTGTGGCCCTTATGACCACATGGCGGCCGGGTGTGGTAGGGCAGCAGCGCCAAGGTCTTTGGACCTGCCAGTTGTCACAGAGTCTCAGGTGGCATCTTTGCCTGAGGTTGTGAGTGTAGTAGGTAAAGGTAATTGGGCGGACGAAGTGGAGGGAGCGGGAGAAATTTGTGACGTTTCCAGTGGCTTCGGACGTTCCCACACAGGCAGACCCTGGTGATGAACAGCAGCCTGTAGGGGTGGGGGAGGCCGGTGACCTACAGGTTTTACCTGAACCCCTGCAGGAGATAATCAAGTCTTTTCTGGACTAGCCAGCAGAGGAGATCCCTCCTGTAGATGGGAGAATTCTGATGGTTGAGGAAGACCAGAGTGAACGGGTCCAGGGGCCTCAGGAGTCAGAGTCTGGCATGTTGCAGGTGCAGCAAGTGGAGGCTGAGGTGCACAGGGGAAGTGACCATACTGATATGGAGGTTGAGAGTACATCTAAAAAAAAAGCTGGAGGATCGTCGGATGACGAGTGTATTACTCCAGCTCAGCGTACTGGTAAGAAGAGTTGGGCGGGAGTGACTAAGAAGGGGCACGGTAGTGCACAGGGGAGGAGGGGGTCCAGGCAGGCAAGAGTGCACGGGAAAAAACAGGCACAGCAAAAAGTGTAATGGACAGGCCACAGAAACATAGAGGAAAACCCCCTTTCTGAATCTTTAAGTGTCTAACGATAAACGTGAATGGCCTTAGGGCTCATGTAAAACGTGTATGGTTAGAGGATGTTTTGAGGCGTTTTAATATTGATGTGTGTTTTATTCAAGAACACAATTTTAAGTGTGGTAGAGATTTGAGGCTGAAAGGTTTTAGGATGTATGCAGGCAGCTCAGGAAAATTAAAGGGTGGGGTGGCAGTGGCAGTGAGGGAATCCAGCCCATTCCAAGTGCTCGTGTGGGAAGAGGAAGGGAGGGGAAGGTGGAGGGGCTATGGGGGGAGATTAGAGTGTGTTTTCTAGGGATATATATGCCGGCTGATAGCAGTATAAGGGTAAAGGTGACTTTTGTAAGGGAGGTTTTGCTTTTCTACTTGCGGGGTTTACCCATGGTTTCTATAGTAGGAGGGGATTGGAACCGTGTAATCAGAACTAAGGATGTGGAGCCAAGAGGTGCAGGGTGTGTGCTTGGAGCGTTGAGGGATTCGTTGAGGGACGCAGAGGTTTTTGACATAGTCAGGGGAGATGGGTGGAGAGTGGAGCACACGTTTATGAGGAGGGGTTATGCAGCTAGGTTGGACCATATATATATAACTCGAGAGATTAGAGTAGACAGTGTAACGACGATAGATTTAGGTTTTTCGGACCATCGAGTCATTTTGGAAGAGGTGGCATGGGACGGGATGGTTCGTAGGTATGTGGGTTATTGGAAACTGAATGTGAGGTTACTTCACGAGGAGGGGAAGGGGTTGGTTTTTAGAGAATGGTGGTGGCACCTCTGGGAGGCACGCAACAAAGAAGAGGATGTATTGGAATGGTGGGAGAAGTATGCTAAATTGCAAATAAAGGAGTATTATCAGCATAGAGGACGGGATGAGGCGCAGTGGGGGTTTGGTTTACAAAAATATTTTGAGGGGCAGCTCAATGGTTTTTATGAAGAGGGCGGGGAGGCTAGATATGGGGAAATAGAGGTTTTAAGGGGAAGATTGAGGGATATGCAAAATTCTCGTTTTGATGCGTTACATGTAAGGGAAGGATTAGAGGAGGTCCTATGGGGAGACAAACCGTCAGGATGCGTTTTGAGGAGATTTAGGGAAAGGCAGCAGATAACTACAATTATGGGATTAGAGGTGGGGCAAGGGGGTGGGGGGCAAATAGGGTTGGGGCAGGAAACTTACAACAAAAGATGGAATGAGTAATTATGCGGATTATTGTTTAGGAGACTTTTAAGCAGGGGAGGGTGGGGGGAAAGGAGAGAGAGATTATAAGGGAAGGAATTCGGGGTATTTTAAGGAAGGAGGAGAGAGAGATGATAGAGGGTAGAATCAGTTAGGAGGAGGTGGGGGAGGCGGTAATGAGTGGGAGGAGGGGAAAGGCACCGGAGATTGATGGAATTCCTCACGATTTTTATATTACACATTGGGATTGTCTGAAGGAATGTCTGGTCTCGTTGCTTAACTGTATGAAGGACGGGGGAGCATGGGGGAATCGCAGGGCACGGAGGTAGTTGTTTTGGTTTACAAAGGAGGGGGGAAACCCTGGGTGTCTATAGGGCGATCTCCCTCATGTGTGCTGATTATAAAATTTTCGCAAAGGTTTTAGGTAATCGCATGAAAAAGGTGCTTGACCGTGTTCCACATAGAGGACAGTGTGGGATCCCGGGTCGAAGTATGCGTGAGGGGCATGGGAGAATTAGGGATTTTGTGGAGGGTAGACAAGGGGGGAAGAATCTCGGGGATTGATTGGAAGCAGGCTTATGACTGTGTGAATAGACGTATGTTGTGGAGTATTTTACAAAAACAGGGTTTTGGGGATGAGATTGTGCGATGGGCAACTACTTTGTATATGCCTGCGAGGGTCAGAGTGCAGGTTAATGGGAAGTTAGGTTTGCCGGTGCAGATGGGGAATGGTTTGCGACAGGGTTGTCCCTTGTCTCAAATCCTTTTTGCATGCATGCAAGACCCATTTTATAGGCTTATAGAAGAAAGGAGTGTGGGAAAGGGGGAGGAGGGTCCTGGCAGATGTGGAATTGTGGGGTATGTGGATGCACCACAGTTTTGGTGGGGAGGGAAATGGGATTGGGGGGAAAGTGGGACGTATAATCAAGATCTTTGGTGGGGCGACAGGGATGAGGGTTAATGGGGCAAAGTCAAAGTTATTGGAAGTAGGTATGTGGGTGGGGGGGGGTGTTTGTGGGAACTGTATGGGTGGAATGTAGTGGATAGAATCAAGATCTGCAGGGTTGTGTACATGGCGGATGCTGGGGAGGCACAGTAAACAAACTCAAAGGATGTTGTGAGTAGAGCGATCGGCAGGATGCAAGGGTGGAAGGCCGGGGATATAACATTGCAGCAGACGGTGGTGGTAGTAAACACACTTGTGTATAGTAAAGTGTGGGGAGTAGCAGAAGTATATCCTTTGAGGTCGTGTAATATTCAGGAACTGGAGAGGGTGGTTTTGAGGTATGTTTGGGGTTATGGCAGGCCATGGCTAAGGAAGGAGATGGTGATGACGAGCGTGCGGCAGGGTGGGCTGGGTCTTATACCTTTGGACACAGGAGTGAAGGCAGTGTATGTGAAGCAGCGGTACCTGAGGGCGGGAGGGGAGAGAGGAATAAGGGTGGGAGAGGTCATGGAGGATGTGAGGAAATGGTGGAAGGGGAAGGCATTATTGGTGTGTGAAGATATGGTGCGTAATTTGTTGACAATACGGGATGCAAAAAAAGTAAGGGTCAGTAAGCTGGGGAGAACAGATAGGCAGGGTGGTGTGCTACAGGGTGTAGCTACATATCCGATGTATGATTGGAGGGGCATTTGGGAAGATTTTAGGAAGATTAGATTAAAGCCGAGGGTTTGTGAAGTGGTATATAGGTTTTTTTAGATGAATGGTTCAGAGAACCGACACGTTGATAAATTAGACACATGTGCAACTCTTGGGTATCTTTATTGAGGAAACGTTTCGCCACACAGTGGCTTCATCAGTCCATATGTAGGAGAATGAGGTAATCAGTCCCTCAACCTTGAGTCGATGTGTTCAGTCCATCAATCTTGAATAGAATACGGCATATAAGCGGAGAAGCAGCTTATAAACCGTATGGCAGGAGAGGTGCAGCAGTCATAGGTGGTGTCACATTTGTTCAATGTGGAAGTAGGTCGTGCCCAAGAATTAGGCAAGCGAAGAATTCCTAAGTTTTAAGATCCCAAGAAGTTGCAGTGTCTGACAGGTTTGTAGATGAATGCTTCAGAGAACCGACATGTTGATAAATTAGACACATGTGCAACTCTTGGGTATCTTTATTGAGGAAACGTTTCCTCAATAAAGATACCCAAGAGTTGCACATGTGTCTAATTTATCAACATATAGGTTTTTTATGGGAACTGTAGCTTCAAGGTCGGTGCTATATCGAATGGGGTATGTAGGTGACGGCACCTGTTTACATTGTGGGGAGGAGGAGATGGCGGTTCAT